TAAAAGGTGGAAATAACTTTTTTAAAAAAGATTTATTTATTTGTTTTGAAAGGTTACAAAGAGAGAAAGAGAGAGCGAGCGACATCATCCATTAACTGGTTCACTCCCCAGATGATGGCAATGGCCAGCACTGGGCTAGGCTTAAGCCAGGAGCCTCCCATGTGGGTGAAAAGGGTCCAAACACTTGGGCCATCCTCTGCTGCTTTTTGCAGGTCACTAGCAGGGAGATGGATCAGGAGTAGAGCAGCTAGGACATGAAGTGGCACCCATAAGGAATGCTGGCATCAAAGGTGGCATAACACCATCCCTGGAAATAACTTTGGCAAGGTTTCTAACAACAGGCCTTATAGATTGATGTGACCTATTTCTAAATCAATGGTTCTCACCCTTGGTTACACATTAAAATCAGATGGAAGACCTTTAAAAGATTCTGATGCTTGGGTTCCAAACCCTAAAATTCTGATGTAATTGATCTGGAGTGGCATCCTGGGATTACAAGTTTAACAACTTCTCAGGTGATTCTAATGTGCAGGAGTGATTGAGAACCTGTGCTTTCAAACAGGGCTTTTGAGATTTTAATGTGTGCATGAATCAACTGGGAATCCCACTGTACTGTAGAATTGGAGTCAGTAGATCTGGGGTGGTTTTGTATTTCTTCCTTATGCCTGTGTATTGAAATGCAGGCATGCATGAAGTGCTAGAAAGAGCCATAGAATCCAAAGGAGGGGATATTCCTTACCAACTGACAAGAAAGTATTTTAGGTAATATAACTGGTATACCCCTGCCTGAGACTAGGTTATGGAGTCAGGAAAATATGACCTTTTCATAACAAAACAGATTTTTGGGGGCAGGCATTTGACCTAATGTAAATTAAAATGCTGGTTGGGATTCCCACATCCCATATCAGAATACCTACGTTAGATTTCTGGCTCCCTCTCTGCCAAAGATCTCATCTCACATTTTACTAAGAACATTGATGTGATCAGGCAAACTACCTTGTCTTCCGACCCATACACAAACCACTTGCCTCTTAATTTATTTTTTGTCTTTCTCACTTCTTAAAAGGATGGGAATCGGGGTTCTTTTTTAAAGGCCCATCCACCTCCTCATGCTTTGGATCCGTTCTTTCAACTCTTCAATAATTTCATCCCTGGAAGTATTCCCTTTGTCTCCAATATCAATAATTTCTCAGGCACATCATTCCCATACTCATATAAGCATTTATCTGCCAAAACAACAACACGAACCACAAAAAACTTCCCTTGCTCTACCTACGCCCTCTAGCCACCATCCTGTTTCTTTGTCCCTCACCCCACCCCAAAGAAAAAAAATCAACCAAACAAAGAAACCTCATGAGTTGTCTCCACTTCATATCTGTGTTCTTAACTGAGTTCTTCAATACAATCATTCTGCCTTACTACTCTAAAATTGTTCCTGCAAAAGCTCTCATGACTGCCTCTGGTCAATTCTGTGTTCTCTCTACTCTCTGTGCAGCTTTTGCTATAGTTGTCCATGACCTTCCAACTGTAAAACCTTCTTTGCTTGACATCTATGATGTCACCTTTTAACCTCATGAGCTATTTCTTCTCAGTCTCTTGCTATCTCTTCTTCCTCCTCTGCTGAATTTGGAGATACTTGAAGTTATCATAGCCCAGTACTCTATCTATATATAATCTTTGCTTAAATAATGTAATGCAGGCCAAGACTTTAAGTTCCATCTATAAACATCTATAATTGCCAAATATATTCCAGACCAATATATTCATCTGGTAATTTGACATTATCACTTGTGTATGTAATGGGTAATGCTTTCCAAAGATGACCAGGAATGTATTTGTAGCTGAACAAGTTGGGGTTTTTTTGAAATTTTTTTATTTTTTTTAAATATTTATTTATTTGAAAGACAGTTACAGAGAGAGAGGAGAGGCAGAGAGAGAGAGAGAGAGAGAGAGGTCTTCCATCGATGGTTCAATCCTCAAATGGACACAATGGCCGGAGCTGCACTGATCCGAAGCCAGGAGCCAGGAGCTTCTTCTGGGTCTCCCACATGGGTACAGGGGCTCAAGGACTTGGGCCATCTTCTACTGCTTTCCCGGGCCATAGCAGAGCTGGACAGGAGGTGGAGTAGCCAGTACTAGAAACGGCACCCATATGGGATGCCAGCGCTTCAGGCCAGGGCGTTAACCCACTGCGCCACAGCACCGGCCCCAACAAGTTGGGTTTATTACTTGATTCAGAGAGAGCACACACTATAGGGAACCATGGTATATATCATAAAGTGTTAGGAAGGACTTGTGGGGCTGGCACTGTAGTGCAGTAGGTTAATCCTCCACCTCCACCTGTGGTGCTGGCATCTCATATGGGTGCCGGTTCTAGTCCTGGTAGCTCCACTTCCTTTTTTTTTTTTTTTTTTTTTTAAGATTTATTTATTTGCTTGAAAGTCAGAGTTACACAGAGAGATAAGGAGAGGCAGAGAGAGAGAGAGAGGTCTTCCATCCGCTGTCCCCCGCCCCCATTGGCGGCACGGGCGGGAGATGAGCCGATCTGAAGCCAGGAGCCAGGAACTTCTTCTGGGTCTCCCATGCGGATGCAAGGGCCTAAGTGCTTGGGAAATCTCCTACTGCTTTCCCAGGCTATAGCAGAGAGCTGGATCAGAAGTAGAGCAGCCGGGACTTGAAGCAGTACCCACATGGGATCCTGGCACTGCAGGCAGAGGCTTTACCTGCTATGCCACAGCGCTGGCCTCAGCTCCACTTCTGATCCAACTCTCTGCTGTGGCCTGGAAAAGCAGTGGAAGATGGCCCAACCGCTTGGTCCCTGCATCCTCATGGGAGACCCAGAAGAAGCCCCAGGCTCCTGGCTTCAGATCGGCTCATCTCCAGCCATTGCAGCCAATTGGAGAGTGAACCAGTGGATGGAAGACCTCTCTCTCTGTCTCTCCTCTCACTGTCTATAACTCTACCTCTCAAATAAATAAATAAATCTAAAAAAAAAAAAAAAAGGAAGGACTTGTGATAGAATTTGGGCTTGTCTTAGAGGGATCAAAGAGGATGGTCTTGGCTGTGGATTAGAAACTGTAAGGAAGCAAGGGTAATTCTATACTTGGATATTTTAATGTTTTATCTAGAAGAAAGGAAGACTAGACTAAAACTAAGATTGTCACTGATTTAAAAAAGCAGCAGTCACTCGTATTAGCTCAGAAAAGGGGATGTTTGGTCATTTTTGTGGCTTGAACAATGTTTATACTTTTTTCTGTATTCATACATGATTACAATGATTTTAGTTTTGTCTTGATCTATCATTGTCACAGAGTGGCCTTGTCTGACATTGACATTCTGCAAAATTGTTAGTTTGACTAAACAACACCAATTCCTATTGTGACTGCCAGGCCAGCTCATGGCAATATTAAACTAAGCTGGTATTCCAGGCCATCTCCCACATGTCAAGGTCTGTTTTCCTACTTCCCAGCATCCATACTGGAATTCTCCGTTTACTCCTCCCACCTCCCACCTGTTTTACAGCTTTTCCTTCTATATGGCACCATCATCCATACCTGTGCTCACCAAAACCCCAGACCCACTGTTGATCCACTTCTGTTGATGCTGCTCTTTTCCTTATCCTCCACAGCCAGTCACCAGATCCTAATGTCTTCTTTCCTCTATTTCTTCTACCATCTTTCTGGTACAAACCACCATTACTGTCTTCTTAACTATGCAGAAGACAGGCACTTGGCACAGTGGTTAAAACGCAGTTTGGAACACTTATACTCCATATTGGAGTAGTTGGGTTCAAGTTCCAGCTACAAATCTAATTCCAGCTTTCTGCCAATGCTCACCCTGGGAGGCAGCAGGTGATGGCTCAAGTACTTGGCACATTTACTACGTACCTCCCACAGAGAAGACCTGAATTGAGTTCAGGGTTCCTAGCTTTGCCCTGGCCCATTAACTGCTGTCATGAGCATTTGGGTGATGAACCAGGAGATGAAGATCTGTGTCTCTCTCTCTCTCTCTCTGCCTTTCAAACAAAACAAATAATTTAAACTTGAAGTAGCCTCCAATTTTCTCTGCTTCCACTCTTGCTCCTCTACAATTTGCTCTCCTCATAATAGGCATAAATCAGTTTGTATCACTCCCTTGCTTTAAAACTTTCTAATGGATTCCCAGTGTATTGGGAATAAAGGCCAAATTTCTTGGCATTTTTCAAAGCCACATGTAGTCTAGTTTCTAACTAACAACTCTCTGTCTTCATCTTTGATTATCTTCACTTTCTCTCTGCTTCTTCCTCTGCCCTGCCCTTTGTCTCCCCTCAGGCAATACCAAGCACATCCCTATCTCTGGACTTCCTCTTCCATCTGCCCTACCTCTTCTGGGTCTGTTTCTGAGGGGACCTTCCCTGACCATCACATCAAGGTACCACTTTCCTGGCGACTATCACATTTTTCCATTGGAGACCTAATCAAATATGCAAGAACAGTGTTCATTTACTCCTTCGTTTGTTGTGGCCACCACATGGGAATTTAGCTTCATAAAGGGATGGTGGTCTGTCTTGGTCCCATTGTAATTCCAGCCCCTCAAAATCTGTCGCACCTTAAGGCCAAAGAGTCAATATACTCTGAACTGCTGAGTGCCACTGTGCTTATTTCTACTGATTCAGTTGTAAAGAATCTAATTACATTTTCCGTTTGTTTTTAAGAAAAGTAGGGTACTCAAAAAAAATGAAGTAAAAAAAGGAGTCAAAAGAATGTACTTTTTATCCCTGGAGTGCCTAATGTCATAAATGGCCACAGTATACACGGATATGTCAGAATGCCGGATCTTGAGGTTTTTCTTTTTCTGAAGTACATTCTTTCCTGAAAATAAGGCTGGGCCCTTGGCCTACGGTTCACTCTGTAGTTTAGTAAAGGGTTATCCTGGCGTAACCGCTTTCTCAGGCGCCGCGATGCAGAGGCCGCCGCTTGACTCGTGCGCAAGCGCGCTGCAGCCGGTCCACGGCGCCGAGAGTTGTAGAGCGCGCGTGCGCCGGCAGAAGCAGCGAGGCGGGAAGTGTCGCGCAGGCGCGTTTGGCCAGCTCGCTAGGTTGGGAGCTCTTGGAGGCGGTGACCCAGCCACCTGGGAGCCCTAGAAGTCGAACTCCCTTAAACCGTGAGTTTCCGACTGTTTGTTCCATGGCGCGGGATTGTGAGGGATTAGAAACGAATTCCGGGCCGTGCCTTCGGTTTTGTCGCAGTGCTGCTCCCCGGCGGAGCCCTCCGACCTGCGGCGGGAAAGTCGCGCGCCTGCGCACTAAGCATCCCGTTCGGTCTCGCGTCGGGTGGGGGTGGGGGGGTCTTCGCCCGGCGCTCGCGGCCCTCCGCCGGCGCCCGCTAAGGAAGCCATTCATTGCCCCTTCCCTTCCTCCGTCCGGCGCTCGCGGCTACTATCTCCTCTGTTCTCCACCAGCTTGCGTGGCTCCCTGAACGAGTGTCCGGGCGCTCCCTTTCAGGGGTCAAACGATGTCTCCCTCCGTTGTCTTGCTCGGGACAAACCGTCCCGCGGCTCACGCACGCCCCCTCCCCCACGGCCCCGCTGCCCGCTGCCCGGGCCCGCGGCTGCTCGGGCTCCCCCGACTGGAAACGCTGCCTCCCGACCCCTGCTGGCGTTTCTGGACGGGGACCCTAGGGATGGTCACGGTTGGTTTTTTGGGGATTTGGACTTAGGGCGCGTTTTGAAGTGCCTGCCCCTTCGAGTGCTTGCTTCAGTGAGTGATTTCTTCACCCTCTCCAGTGCTCTCCCTGCGGCCATGACCCCCTAGCCGGCACCTTGGCATCCCACTTGTTTGGTGATGGAGGCGACATTGGAGATTCAGATGGAGGAGCCAATGGCCTTTTCTTCCTCCTGTGACCGGCTTCAGGCTGATGGCTCGTTAAAAAAACGTGAGCAGAATTTTAAACTGCCAGGTATGTGTAATTCCAATGACATACAGTTCCCAAAATGTGCGGGCAGCCATTCTGTATTTTCTGTTGCTTTTGGAAAAAATCACATTGACTCTTTAAAGTGAGTTGTATGTTGATTTAGGAGCATTTTACCAATCAGCAAAAGTTTCATAAGATATCTAGAATTAGATTGCATTTGAGCAGGTTTGGGGTCCAACCATGCCATTATACAGTCTAACTAATACTAAATACTGCTAACTTGAGTAAGACGTCAGAAGCCTGTTGATGCCCGGATGAGAATTTCTCTTCTACACCTGTTGGCCAGTCTCTCGTCATATTGCATTAAGCTTGGTTGGAAATCAACACTGAAGGGATCGTCACGGAAGAATTCCAAAGCAGAATTCAGTGGCAAAAATAAATATAACAAAAAATATATAAATATATATATAACAGTAACAAAGCAGTACATGTCATTGAACTTCATGAAGTGTTGTTTGACCATACCAAAGACCTTGAGGAGAGGCTCCAACAGCACTGTGTTTTGTACACTAAAATCTATACTTTCATTCCTGCTCCAGCACTGTATATGGTACATGGTGGGCATTTAACAAATATTTGTTAAATAGTGGAGTGTCTAGTTCTATTCTTTTTCTCATAAAGGTGTCTAAAACCTTTTCCATCTTGATCTTAAGTGAATTCAGTGCTTGTCCAAAAGATGTTAACTTTTACCTTTTATTCATGATACATACATAGTTTACACACTACAAAATAGATTGTAACCCCAGCCTTGAAAAATATATTGGATACTCTTCTTTCTGCCTAAAAACTAAACTCTTCTTTGGTATCAAAATGGGTACCCTTCTAGGTCTCCCTGTATTTGGTCATGAGAGTCACTGTTACCCCCATATCTACAGTTAAAACTCAGTGTTGTCTTCATTTTATGCCTTGTATTTACTCACCTATCTAGTCACCCAGCTTTGTCTTCCTTCTGTTTAATATGTATGGCATTGCATCTCACCACTCCCATTTCTAGCACATTAATTCATTTTTACACTTTGTTCCTAAAGTATAATGAAGTTCCCTGCTTAAACTGTTGGCTTTGACTTCTGTTCATCCTCCAGTTCATCTTGTACACTCCTACTGAAATAATCTTAAAATACATGGCTTTCATGAATGTGGTCCCTGTTCCTTCCTTATCAGTCATTGGATACAAAATCCAATCTAGTAATACAATAATGTGTTGTTTAACATTCTGTGTTTTCTTAAGTTCCCTTTAATTAAGTAGAATGTGTGGACAAATCTGACTTGTTTTAGCATTATGTTCAGGAGAATCCAACTCAGGCTATTCTGAAAATCTGTTAGGAAATAAAGAATGGAGTGAATTTTATTCCAAATATCAAAAGTTTTGTAGCTTTTTTTTTGTCCAGAAAAATTTAACAGGTTTATTTATAATTGTTATAAAGTTGAACTACTGAAACTTGTTCACTGAAACATTTTGACTTGCATTAATGCTTTACGTCCCCGCACTTATATTAAAAATCCACACACAAATGAAAATGGAAAAACTGCCAATACCTGATTTCTGTCCCCTATTTTCCACTCGCAGTCATATACTTAGGTACCTTTTGACCCCATGGGAAAAAATATCTAACGTTCAGAACTACCAATAACAGGAAGAAGAGAAAAAAAATTTTTTTGAGAATGAAATGTTTCCCGTCATAGTGGATTCTTAAGCACGTTCTCCACGTATGCGGCGTGCTAGCTGGATGTCTTTTGGCATAATTGTTACACGTTTGGCATGGATAGCACACAGGTTGGTGTCTTCAAAAAGGCCAACCAGATAGGCCTCACTTGCCTCCTGCAAAGCACCAATAGCTGCGCTCTGGAAGCGCAGGTCTGTTTTGAAGTCCTGAGCGATTTCTCGCACCAGACGCTGGAAGGGGAGTTTGCGAATAAGAAGCTCAGTGGACTTCTGATAACGTCTGATTTCACGAAGTGCCACGGTACCAGGCCTGTAACGATGAGGTTTCTTCACCCCTCCAGTAGAGGGCGCACTCTTGCGAGCGGCTTTTGTAGCCAGTTGCTTCCTGGGTGCTTTACCACCAGTCGATTTGCGGTAGTCTGCTTTGTATGAGCCATGGTATAAAGACCTCCTTACTTACCCCCCTCCTCCTTCGGCTGGAGCTCGGCGAGCGAGAGGCGGCGCTGGCGTTAGAGAGCGATGGCCAAGTTTTGTAGCTTTTACATAACACATGGGACATTATAAATAGTACCAATGATAATTTATAAAACATGCCAAAATGTCATTCATGTGGTTCTTTTTAAAAATGACCCTTAGTAAAAGCTAAGGTTATATGAAAGGCGTAACTTCAGTAAGGAGTAAAGTTGATGAGGTCCAGGCACATCACTGTCTCATGATCTACTCTGACTGGCTTTCTCAATTAGATCAAGAGACAGTGATGTGCCTGGACCTCATTAACTTTACTCCTTACTGAAGTCATGTTTTTTATTGGATAGTGGAATTTTTATCTATCTATCTATATATATATATATCTTTGCATTCTTGGTAGCTAGCAATGTCGAATATAGTAAATGTTTGAAAATATTTGAATGACTAATTTAATACAAGGATATAAAGTTAAATTCTTAGTGTAATAGATGATTAGCTTAGCCCTTTGATTTGGGATACTTGTCACATTTTTCAAATTTTTCAAATTATATATACTTTTATTGAAGAAAATTAGGAAGTATAGCAAGCCAAAATAAGGAAATATTATCCAACTGTTTAAATATTGCCAGTGTTAACATTTTGTTTTGTATTGTGTATCCATATGGAGATAAAAAAATTAAATTGAAATTGGTATCAATTTGTTTCTAATCCATTTTTTGCTAAACATATCTTCAAACATTTCTTGTAAGTACTCTACAACTTAAGTTCCATTACCTAGTATGTTATAATTTATTTGACTTGTCTTGTTGGCCCTCTACATCAGTTTGCATTTTTTTCTATTAAGAAAAATGCTGCAGTGCACAAAGTACCTGGCATAGTATTAGGTCAAATATTTATTCTTGTTTCAGCGAGCTTTTCCCCCCATATGTATCTGCAATATGCCAAGCATACTGAGAAAAATCTTTTCAATGAAAAAATAAGCATAAACTACTTATAAACAATATATACATATATATTACTTATATATGAGTATATTTATAAATATATGTAATAGTAATGCATATTACATATATATTATTTATATATTTATACTTGTATACTGAGTGTATCCTTTGTACTGTATATTGTATGGATGCCCTTAACTTTTGCTTCTAAAATGTATTATAGCTACCATCTTGGATTTTCTGGAAAAAATCTGGTTTATACTTACTATTATAATGTAATTATTAGCACTTCCTTTCACTTTCAAGAGTATCGCAGTTGGGGTTAAATTATATGAGAAATCTTCAGAAAGTTCATGAGACATGCACATTATCTTTTAATTCCACTTTGACACAAATTTTTTGAATTTTTTAATTATTTTAATCATTGAATCATTTAACTTTTTAAGATTTTTTTTTTTTTTTTTTGAAAAGTAGAGTGACACATCTTTGATCCACTGGTTTACTCCCCAAATGGCTGCAAAGGCTGGACTGGGCCAGGCCAAACCCAGGAGTCTAGAATTACATCCAAGTCTCCCTTATGGGTGGCCCAAATTTGGGCCCAGATGCTTAGGCCATCATCTACTGTTTTCCCAGATTCTTTAGCCTAAAGTTGGATCAGACATGGAGCAGCGGGACTCCAACCAGCGCTCTGATAGGGAGTATGGGATGTCATGACAAGGAAGCAGAAAGTACAAAGGCTGTGAGATAGGAGTGTGCTCAGCATTCAAGAATAGCCAGGAGGCAGGAGGGACCAAAGTTGTGGTGCAGTGGGTTCAGCTGGCACTTGTGGCACTAGGCTTCGGTGTGGCCCAGCCCTAGCTGTTGTGGCCATTTGGGGAGTAAACCAAAAGATGGAAGATCTGATGCGTGGCTAGAAAGAGAAAGTGATGAGAGTAAAGTCAGTGATGTGAAGTGACTTTTATATGGAGTCAGATGGGAAACCATTAGAGGGCTTGAGCAAAATATATGACTATATATATAGTGACTTAGCTTTAATAGAATAATTGTGGCTGCTTTATTGCAAATGTAAGCAGGGGGTGTAGCTAAGGAAGTTGTTGGTATAATAAACCCAACTTGGATGTATTACATAGCAGAAAACAGCATTTACTTAAAATTTCAGAGCAGAAGCCTAGATTTTTGTGACTATGGTATGGGCATTTATATAGTTTTGTTGTTGTTGTTGTTGTTTTAGCACATCAGACTTTTCAGGGTCTTCTCTCAATCCTCAAAGTCTGTATTCATTTGTCTCTGTCTTTAAGATTTTCCACCTTTTGATATGAAAACCCTTTTCTTTTTACTCTGACCTTGCACTTCAGAATCTGAGGAATATTGCATTGTCTTTGTTGCCAGGAAATTTTATTGTTTAATCATGTCACAGCTTTCCATGGTGACAGGTAACCTTAATATGAAAATTTTTGAGTTTGTAAAGAAGTATATAGTATCTGAGTAGCAGTGTGCAAGCACATTAAGTTTACATGTTTACTTGTATGGTTTGTGCATTATAACATTTTCTTTTCTTTTCTTTCTTTCTTTTTTTTTTTTTAAAGATTTATTTATTTGAAAGGCAGAGTTACAGAGAGAGAGAGAGAAAGAGAGGTCTTCCATCCGATGATTCACTCCCCAGATGGCCGCAACGGCCAGAGCTGTGCCGATCCAAAGCCAGGAGCCAGGAACTTCTTCCAGGTCTCCCATGCAGGTGCAGGGGCCCAAGGTCTTGAGCCATCTTCTGCTTTCCCAGGCCATAGTAGAGAACTGGATCGGAAGAGGAGCAGCCAGGTCCCAAACCGGCGCCCATGTGGGATGCCAGCACCGCAGGCAGCGGCTTTCCCCACTATGCCAGTGCACCAGCCCCGTTTATAGAATTTTCTTATTACGTATATTTGCTTCTTATGATTTCTACCAGTTAACCAATATCTCTACTAATAACTGCAAACTCATGCTTATGCAAAAGGAAGTTCCAAAGTGTTGAACTCATAGAAGAACATCGACTATATTGTACTTGGAAGGTAAAGTTCATCTGATCCAGTACCTTTGTTGTATAAATGAAGAAACCAAAGTCTCGTGCTGTTTATGACAGGAGTTGAATCTAGATCTTTAGATTCCAAGTTTCCTCTGTATATCAATGCTGTCCAATAGAAGTTTCCCTGATAATGAAAATATTCCTGTACTGTCTCATGTAGTTAATACAACTGAGGAAAACAATTTTTAATTCTGTTTAATTGTAACTAACAAATAGCAACATGAAACTCTTGGACAGCAAGACTGTTATCAATAGAAAGCTTTCAGTATTATTAATCACATAAATATGCATATAAACACTTGGATACATTTAATAATAAACACTACAAACAGTGCTACAACATTTCCTCATGGGGCAGGCATGGTGGTATTGGGGACCCTAGTATCCCCTATCAGCGTACCCGGGATTGAGTCCTGGCTGTTCACTTCCAATCCAGTTTCCTGCTCATGCCCCTGGGAGGTAGCAGATGATGGTTCAGGTCCCTGAGCCCCTGCCACCCATGTGGGTGACCCAGATGGGGTTCCAGACTCCTGGCTTCAGTGTGGCACAGCCTCAGCTGTTGGGGCATTTGGGGATAGAACCAGCACATGAATGATCTCTCCTGTCTCTCTGCCTTTCAAGTGAATAAATAAAACTTCTTGAAGTGTTGTTATTTTTAAACCCCCGAAAATCACCATTATTTTATGTTCACATCAGAAATGCTTCCAGTTAGAGTATGTCACCATGTTTTCTTATCGCTCAGAATTTTTTTGCACCAAAATAAACTTAAGGGTTAAGTGAATGCTCTGATTTTCTTCAAGTCACTGACACCTATTCACAGTTTTGATGCTGACAGTTATAAAATGCATCCCAATTCCAGGGCTTGTATAATTGTCTTAGAACCAAAGAAATGGGATATCAAATAGAACATACTATTTTAATACCTATTTATGGTACTTTTCCTTTGATGCTATGGAATTTGAAGCTGACTGGAATTGATACTCATTAGGAAAGATTGTAATTAACTATGGTAACTGTGACTGTTAGAAAGTTGTTTTGGCTTCCAGAGTAAAGTACTATTGTAGTTGGTAAGTAAGGTAACTAATAACTGTCTTTGGCTTCATTCTGTAGTGATTTCTAAACTTTCTTTTTACAGCTCTCAATGCCCATAATGATATCAGTGATTCATTTATTCAACAAACGTGTCAGGCACTGTTCCAACTAGGAGCTGAGAATACTATGGTGAACTATATAGAAAGGGAATCTGTATGGCTGGAGCTTGTGTTCTAATAGGAGGAGACAGACAGTAAATAAATAACAGTGGAATAACAGTGAACAGGGTAATGGAAGGAATGGAAGGAAAGCTAATTTAAATAGGATATCAGAGGAGACTGACACTTGAGCTAGCCCATAGCTCCAACAGTATGAACTGTCACTGTCATTTATTTAATATATACTGTGTGCCAGTTGTGTAAAAAGCTTTAACACATAGATAGTCCCAGGCATACGAAGCTTCAACTTAAAATTTTCCAGCTTTATAATTTTTGGCTTTATGTTAGTGTGAAAATGATATGTGTTCAGTAGAAACTGTAGTTTGAATTTTGATCTTTTTCCAGGCTAGTGATAGGCAATATGATACTCTCTTGTGATGCTATGCAGTGCATCAAGCTGCAGCTCCCAGTTGCCAGGAGGCCACACAAATAAACAGCTGATACTGTATAGGATGTGTGGGGAATGTCCAGCCCACAAGCTGCCTGCAAAATCATTTGGTCTAGCCCTGCCAAGGCAGCTACAGGCGGAACTTGAAATTCTATAAATCTATAGCAGGCTAATTTGTAAGTTAATGATTTTGTATGGCTCCCAAATGATGTTGTAAATATACAAGTGGTCCATGGCAGAAAAAGGTTCCCCACCTTCACTTTACAATGTACTTTGTTGATAAGCTGTGATGTTTGGTAGGTTAGATGTATTAAATGCATTTTCAGTGTAAGATACTTTCAGTTCACAGTGGACTCATCAGGACATAACCTCAGTGTACATCAAGAGGCATCTGTACTTATGGTATTTAATCCTTAAAGTATTGCAGTGGCATTGGCACCATTATTACTCCTTTTTGTAGATGGAGAAACTAAGGTTCAGAGAAGCCGTGTGCACAAGGAGGGTCATGCTGGCTAATAAATACTGGAGCCTGAATTCTAACACCCCCCAACCCCACTCTACCCACTCCTAACTGATGCACGTAATTGCTGTGTTACATTGCCTCTTGTGTTGAAATCCATGAAAGTCTTTGTCCAGTATACCTGTGAAATATGACATGGAAAGGTTGGGGTAATTTCACTTCTTCCCATTTCCATAGATGGGTAAATACAGAAGAAATGACATTGGACCATGTCTTTTTGGCCTATTATTTAGTCTCTAGCTCAAAATAATTTCTCCTCCCCTTTAATCCCAACCTCTATTTAAAAGTTTCCAGTGGCTTTTGTTTGTATTCTCTGCCCTTCCCTTCCCCAGCTGTGTTGTATTTCATTCTCTCCTTGCCCTCCTCCATTCCCTAATCATGTATTTCTTTTTCCATTTCTGTGTCTTTACATACATAACGTAGCTCCTTCCTAAACTGTCTTCCACTTTTGCTACTTGGTGAATACTGCAGAACACAGCTTAACTCTGACCTGAAAACTTCTGGTACTTTCAGAAGTGTTTGTTCTCTGCCCCCACCCTTCTATTTAGTCAAATATAGGTTCTTCTATTACAGTTATCATTGCATTCTATTACCATTACCATTGCATTAAGGGTGATAATGGCTGTCTTTACTAGACTGAGCTCCTAGAGAACAGTGGCGTACCACTTTTGTTCATTTTTTTAAATATGTCCATTGATGAGCGTTTTTCAAAAGTGTATTAAATGAATGAGTCTGTAGGCAGCAGCAGTACTTCTGTGAAATTGGGTAAATGATTTAACTCCCCGAGAAATGGTTTCTTAATCTGAAAAATCAGGATAATAATTCCTGTTCTGCTAAATCACAGAAATTGAACAACTGAAAAGATAATGCATGTAAGAGTGCTTTGAAAATGTCTTGTCTGTTATACTTTGTGGCATATTATAACTTTTTTTTTTTTAATTTGACAGGCAGAGTTAGAGAGAGACAGAGAGAAAGGTCTTCCTTCCGCAGGTTCACCCCCCACATGGCCACTACAACTGGCGCACTGTGCCGATCCGAAGCCGGGAGCCAGGTGCTTCCTCCTGGTCTCCATGTGGGTGCAGGGGCCCAAGCACTTGGGCCATCCTCCACTACCTTCCCAGGCCACAGCAGAGAGCTGGACTGGAAGAGGAGCAACCGGGACTAGAACCCGGCACCCATATGGGATGCCAGCACTGCAGGTGGAGGATTAACCAAGTGAGACACAGTGCTGGCCCTGGCATATTATAACTTAAAATAGCTTGGCCTAAATATGGTAATAAAAATCTTGGGCCTTTAGATATATTATTACCTCCCATTGTTTTAACTATGTATATTTTTGTAAAGAGCTGATACTGATTTAAAAGTAGCAGTTTACATGAACTTCAGTAGACCTCTGAATTCAGTACATAAGACATTTCCAAGCCTGTAATATTTTTTTTTATCCTTGGGGGAGAGTTTTCAAGAACATGGTATTGCATCCTGCCATGCCTTCTGGTGATCACAGCACAGATTGTTCAGTTATTTTAATTTACGTTCTTCATTGTGCTGTATTTTATGTAATAACAGTGTATATTCATATAAATTCAGTGTAGTAGAAATTTGGTGTATTTAGTTCTGGGACTGTCATTTTTGTTACTTCAAGAAATATGTATGGGCTGGGATTGTGGTATACCAGGTTAAGCCTCCACCTGTGACACTAGTATCCCATATAGGCCCCGGTTCATGTCCTGGTTGCTCCACTTCTGATATAGCTTCCTGCTAATGAGTCTGAGAAAGCAGTAGAAAGATGGCCCAAGTCCTTACACTTCTGCCACTCACATGGGAGACTCAGATGAAGCTCCTTGTTTCTGGCGTCAGCCTGGTCTAGCCCTGGCTAATGTAACCAACTGGGGAGTGAACCAGCAGATAGAAGCGCTCTCTTGCTCGCTCGCTCTCTCTTGCTCTCGCCCTCTCTGTCTCTCCTTTTCTCTATGTAACTCTGTTTTTCAAATAAATAAATTAAGAAAAAAGTATAAATTATAACAACTTTATAGAGTTTTAGTTATAATTTTGAGATTTATTAAAACTTTTCATTTGTAATACTCATATCTTAAAGTTTATCTCTTTGAGTTTTTTTAATTTAAGTTATAAAAAAACTCTCCTTGATTGTAACCATAAATTTTTGTTTCCTTGATAGGTGTTAAAAAGGATATTGAGAAGCTTTATGAAGCTGTTCCACAACTTGGCAATGTGTTTAAGATTAAGGACAAAATTGGAGAAGGTAATTTGGGGGTAAACTTTCTTATCTGTGTAAGTTCTTTTCCCTTTTCCTTGAGCAATTTTGATTTTCATTATTTTTAAATTGAAAAATATACTGCTTTTTAAATATTATGACCATGATTATATTACTAATTATGGTAATAGATTTTCTTTTTTTCCTCCTGGGAAGAATGAAAATGTAACTGATATTTACAGTAAAATGAACACGCCTGTTTTAATCTAATACCATTACAATTTCTTTGGTATATTTTAGCATTTTTTCATTAACATCTTAAAACCAAATACTGAAAAACCTAATAAATTGTTTTTATAGGCACTTTCAGCTCTGTTTATTTGGCCACAGCACAGTTACAAGTGGGACCTGAGGAAAAAATTGCTCTGAAACACTTAATTCCAACAAGTCATCCTATAAGAATCGCTGCTGAACTTCAGTGTCTAACAGTGGCTGGGTAGGCAATTTAAAGACATTTTAATTGTACTGACCATGTGACTTGCAATATTTTAAAGTAGATGAATAGGGCTGATGAGATTGTACATGAATCAAGCTTATTTTTTTAGTTAGGTGTTTGTGATTTACTAGCACTTTTTTCAACCTTGCAAAGATTAATTAAGTTTATATTCTTTTAGAGTGGATTTCCTTTGAGCTCAGTTTGGCTTCCTGTTCTTTCACCACTTAGTTAATATTCCTGCCAAATCATAAACTTTGGTATCCATGGTTTATATTTTTTTTAATGTGGTAATCTGGTATTTCACATCTACCTAACTTTGGATGGACTCATCTCATATTTTGATGAGAATAACAGAATTACCTCTCTGATAAATCATTTCTATCAACATATGGACGCAATCTAATATCTAGTGGCTTCTGAACTTTCCTCTCTCGTCCAGTTGCTCCATTATTTCTTTGCTCTCTTTTACTCTTCCTCAGATACTATTCTGCATTTCCATATGACTTATGGTAATGATTTCCTAAAGGATGTGTCTAGTCTAAGGTCTTTTAACTGCAGATATTTCCAAATGGATGCTTGATAAATACCTCAAACCTAATGTGCCAAAAAAGCAAAAATTTTTTTAAGAAAATACTATTTTTTAAATACTAAATACTATTTTTTGACTTTTCTAAATATTTTTTCCTAAATACTATTTATTTGAAAGGCAGAGAAATATCTTCCACTCACTGGTTCACTCGTCAAGTGCCTGTAACAGCCATGGATGGGCCAGGCCAAGCCAGCAGCCTGGAACTCAGTATAGATCTCACAGATGGATGACAGGGACCCAGCTACTTGACCCATCACCTGCTGCCTCACTACCTTAATCCAAGGCTAGACTACTACTCTTGCCTGTGTCTTTTGTGCCCCCTTATCCTATCTTCATACAGTCGTCAGAGTGAGCTTTATATTCTGTAACATAATTTAGACAATGTGAGTTCTGCCACCTAAAATTTTTCTGTGGTTTCCTAATATAGTTTAAGGGAAAAGAAGTCATTCCTTTATCATGCCGGTCTTCCCGACTCTTCCCTGTGCTCCGGTTTCTTTAGTTCCTCCAATTTATCTTAAGAGCTTACTTTCTTTAAGGCCACTCATTCCCAAACTCTTTGTCCATGCAAGAAGAACTCTCTGGTCTTCAAATGCTGTTATCTCTTATTTCTGCTGTAGGCAAGAGTGACATTGTTTCAAAGATGCCTTGGATTAAATTTGATTCTCCTATATTGATATATGTGTGTGTGTGTGTGTGTGTGTGTGTATGTAGGAACTTTAGGCTTTTTCTAAGCCCCGTACTGTAGTCCATTATTTATCATCTTGTTTGTTGCCCATTGTTCTACTAGATAGTTAAGTTCTCTGAGGACAGAAATTGTATTAATTTTACTTATCATTGCATTCCCCATGTCTAACATAGTGTCTCCAAATAATAGTGCCCACTAATTTCTTATTAAATCAATAAAAGAATGAGCCTGTTTCTTTGATTCACCCTTCTCTGTACTTGGTGTCTCTCTACCCCTTTTTCCTTTCTCTGCATTTCAGAAATGTGCATGCTAAAAACGTCTTCCTCTGGTCTTGCAATGCAGTTGGCAAATTGTCTTTGTGCTCTGCTTTGAACACTATCCTGGTTGCTTTCCTTAACTCCTATTTTGCTTCTTTCTTTCCATTTAATTGCTTTTAGAAAAATTACTAGTTTCCCTGTCACTCCAAAAGCCTTTACTCAGTCCTTATCCTCTGACCTCCATTTTGGGGGCTCCTTTCCAACTCCTTACTTTGTTATCCTTCCTTATTTTTACTTTTTACCATGAGACTTTTTCCAAAACTCATTTTCTCTTCTCTGTTTATGTTCACAGCTTTTGGATATTGCTTCTTTGTAAGTTTTCTCGCTTGACTTCCCAGTTAAGATTTAGTCCTGGGGGCCAGCATTGTGATGTAGCCAATTAAGCTGCCGCCTGCAGTGCTGGCATCCTATATGGGTGCCCATTTGCACTTCCAATCTGGCTCCCTGCTGATGGCCTGGGAAAGCAGTAAAAGGTGGCCCCAGTGCTTGGGCCTCTGCCACCCATGTGGGAGACCCAGAAAAATCTCCTTGCTCCTGGCTTTAACCTGGCCCAGCCTTGGCCATGTGGCTATCTGGGGAATGAACCAGCAAATGGAAGATCTCTGTCTCTCCTTTTCTCTCTAACTTTGTCTTTCAAAGAAATAAATAAAATATTAAGAAAAAAAGATTGGGGCGGGTATTGGCATAGCTGGTAAAGCCATCACCTGTAGTGCCAGCATCCCGAACGGGCACCAATTCATATCCTGGCTGCTCCACTTCCAATACAACTCCCTGCTGATGGCCTGGGAAAAACAGTAGAAGATGGCCCAAGTGTTTAGACTCCTGCCACCCATGTGGGAAGCCAAGATGAAGTTCCTGGCTCCTGGCTTCTGTCTGGCCCAGCCCTGGCCATCACTGCCATCTGGGGAGTGAACCAGCAGATGGAAGATGTCTCTCTCTATATATAACTCTGCCTTTCAAATAAATAAATACATCTTTAAAAAATTTAAAATATTTAGTCCCATATCTAAATTTTTCTTTTAAAATGATGAATTGTTGGTGTTGTTTGTTTGCTTGTTTTACTTAATTTTTTTGGCATCTACTTATTACAGTCAGTATCAAAATCATGGAAATCAACATTATTCCATTTTCCTTACCCGTTAAGAAACATTGTGATTAAGAACATTGGTTAGGAATAAACTAACAGGATTCAACTTGTAACTCAAGGGGCAAGTTTTGGCCTAGTGACTAAGGTGCTGGTTGAGATGTTTGCCTCCGATGTTGGAGTGCGTGGGTTTGAGTCCATCTCCATTGCCAATTGTAGCTTCTTGCTAAAGTGCACCCTGGGAGGCAGCAGGTGATGGTTCAAGTGCTTGGGTCCCTGCCACCTATATGCGAGGCCTAGACTGAGTCCCAGCCTGACACAGCCCCAGCCCTTGTAGGCATCTGGGAGGTGAACGAGCTCTCCCTCTGTCTGTATCTCTCTCTCCTGTGCCTCTCTAAATAATTTTAAAAGTTTTTTTTTTTTTTTTTTTTTTTAAGTCGTGGCTCCGAGACTTACTAGTTTAATGACCTTGGACAAGTTCTTTAACCTCTCTGTGCCTGTTTCTTCATCTGTGAACATGGAAAGAAATAGTAGCACCTTCCTCGTAGGGTTTCTTTGGAGAGTAAGTGAATTTGTTGTGGTAGATACGAAGTACTTAGATCAGAGCTAGTTGTGTAGTAAGTGTTCAATTAATGTTACCTGGAATGAACGTACTATTCTTACCATCTTATCTGCTACCAAATCTCAATTCATTCTTGTTTATCTTTTCCTTCTTTTTTCGCCACTTCTAATTACCTCATATTTGAATTATTATAGTGACCTCATAGCTGATAACAATTTTTATTTTAAAAGAATGCTTGCTTTCTTATCCAAGTGAGTTAAATGTTATACTATCTTGTGATGATTTAAGTCAGTTTTATACTGCATGCATGCATTGTTAAAGTTATATTTTTTTAAAAAAAGATTAAGCTGTAATGATTCAGTTTGATCTTTCCTCTAAAGCTCACTGAACTTTTTTCCACTAGGGGGCAAGACAACGTCATGGGAGTTAAATATTGCTTTAGGAAAAATGATCATGTTGTTATTGCTATGCCATACCTAGAACATGAGTCTTTTTTGGTAAGTTTTAATATTTCTTGAATTTTTATTAGCTAAATATTTAATTGAAAACTATCTTATGACCCTATTTATAACTTTATTTTAGGACATTTTGAATTCTCTTTCCTTTCAAGAAGTACGGGAATACATGTTTAATCTGTTCAGAGCTTTGAAACGCATTCACCAGTTTGGTATTGTTCACCGTGATGTTAAGCCCAGCAATTTTTTATATAATAGACGCCTGAAAAAGTGAGTATGAAGAGTTCCTAGATAATACTTTCACTTCAATGAATTTGTGTGATAGGGTCCAGCCCTTAGACATACACTTCAGCAGTCACGTCCAAATCGTTTCTTTCTTTGTGATTAGGAAAGGAAAATGCAGAGAAGATAACTTTGTATTAGTAAAGCAGTGTATATCATTAGAGGAACTGTGGTTTAGAGTAAATAACTCTTAGTTAAGAAACTTATAATCTTTGAATTTACACATGACTTCATTTTTCTTTTCTAATAAATGAGGAATTAAACCACATAATAACCAGTTTCCTGTTTAAACATTAAAGCTCTATTTTTATGTATACTTTTTATGCTAATTATATACATAGAGGAATAAAATAACTTAAATGCTGCTGTTTATATAGTATATCATATTGAATATGGTAACAAGATTAAGAGTGTAACTTGTTTGTTGGGATTTTATAGCCATGATTTTTCTTTTTCTTTTTAAAAATTTTTTTTTCTTAATTATTTTTAACAGATTCAGTGTGCTGTGTAGATAGAATTCTAAGAACATAGTGATATTCCCTCCTTCTCCCTTTCCCTCTCTTTTCCCCTGTCACCTTTCCACCCTCCTTTCTTTGCCCTTTTATTCTTTTTTTTAGTTTTTGAGATACATATTTTAAATTTACATTACAGTAAAAAGGTTTAATACTTCACTGAATAAGAAGTTTAACAAGGTGCTGGCACTGTGGCATAGCGGGTAGGGCCGCCTGCTGCCGGTTCGAGTCCTGGCTGCTCCGCTTCCAATCCAGCTCTCTGCTAAGGCCCAGGAAAGCAGTAGAAGATGGCCCAAGTCCTTGGGACCTTGCACCCATGTAGGAGACCTGGAAGAAGCTCCTGGATCCTGGCTTTGGATCGGCGCAGCTCCGGCTGTTGCAGTCAGTTGGAGAGTGAACCAGCAGATGGAAGACCTCTCTCTCTCTGCCTCTCCTTCTCTGTGTAACTGTGACTTTCAAGTACAAGGAAAAAAAAAAAAGTTTAACAAGTAAAAAGCAAAAAGACCTGAGCTTAGTGTGACTATAGACAATAGCTATACAGAATAATTGAATGGAAAAATGACCATTTCACCCCTATAGAGTAAATTTTTTATTTTTACTTATTTGAAAGGCAGAGAAACAGGGAGACAGAGGTTTCCCATTCACTAGTTTACCCTCCAAATGCTTATAACAGCTGGGGCTGGGCCAGGCCAAAAAACCAGGAGCTGAGAACTTAATCTGGTTCTCCCACATGAGTGACAGGGACCTGGGTACTAGAACCATACCCCTGCTGCCTACCTCGGTGTACTTTAGCAGGAAGCTGGAATGGAGAGCAGAGCTGAGACTTAAACCAAGTACTCTGATAGGGCATGCAAAAGATATCCCAAGCAGCAGCTTAACTTCGGTGCTAAATGCCCACTCCTTTAGTTTTTAAAAATTAAGTCATATGTTAAAACCATTATTTCAACTTCTCTTTTAAACTTGTTTTATTAGAAATTACCTGCTGTGATGCCATCTGTGCCACGATCAGAGAATAAAGCATTGTATTTATATTGCCCCATTAACATAGGCCACTGGAAAAGAGAGAGAAAAGCAGTTGACTGTGGAGTGTGTCATTTCTTTTTCTCTTTTTTGTTTTAAGATTTATTTTATTTATATGAAAGAGCCGAGAGAGGAAGAGACAGAGAGAAACATCTTCAATTTGCTGGTTTGTTCTCCAAATAGACACAATAGTCAGAGCTGAGCAAGACTGAAGCTAGTATCCTAGAAGTCCATCTGAGTCTTCCATGCAGGTGGCAGGGACCCGGGACCCAAACACTTGGACCATCTTCTACTGCTTTTCTTAGGTATATTAGGGAGCTTGAGGGGCTGGCGCTGTGGCGCAGTGGGTTAATGCCCTGGCCTGAAGCACCGGCATCCCATATGGGCACCGGTTAGAGACCTAGCTGCTTCACTTCTAATCCAACTCTCTGCTATGGCCTGAGAAAGTAGCAGCAGATGGCCCATATCCTTGGGCCCCTGCACCCATGTGGGAGACTTGGAAAAGCTCCTGGCTTCGGAATGGCACAGCTCCGGCCATATGGTCAGTTGGGGGTGAACCATCGGATGGAAGACCTCTCTCTCTCTCTGCCTTTCCTCTCTCTGTGTAACTCTTTCAAATAAATAAATCTTAAAAAAAAAAAAAAAAAAGAGCTGGAACAAAATGGAGCAGCTGGGACTTTAACTGGGGCACCCGTAGGAGATGCCAGTATTGCAGTTAGCAGTTTAGCCTGCTAAGCCATAGTGCCAGCTCCTGGAATATATAATTTCTTTTTTTTTTTTTTTTTAAGATTTATTTGAAAGACAAAGTTACACAGAGGCAGAGAGAAGGAGAGAGAAAAGTCTTCCATCCTCTGGTTCACCCCCAAATGGCCTCAACAGCTGGAACTGGGCTCATCTGACCCAGAGCCAGGAGCTTCCTCCAGGCCTCCCACAGGGTTGCAGGGGCCCAGCAATTAGGCCATCTTCTGCTTTCCCAGGCCATAGGAGAGAGCTGAATCAGAAGTGGAGCAGCCAGAACTTGAACAGGCGCCCATATGGGATGGCGGCACTGCAGGCGGTGGCTTTACCTGCTATGCTACAGCGCCAGCCCCTATATCATTTCTTAATTTTCAATTCTACCTTGGTGTTAAATCCTTGCTTTGTAAAATGTATTTTTTTTTCTTGAACACTGTTCTTTCTTTCTTTCTTTCTTTTTTTTTTTTTTTTTTTTTTGACAGGCAGAATTAGAGAGAGAGAAAGGTCTTCCTTTTTCCATTGATTCACCCCCCAAATGGTTGCTACTGCCGGTGCACTGCGCCGATCCAAAGCCAGGAGCCAGGTGCAGGGCCCAAGTACTTGAGCCATCTCCACTGCCTTCCTGGGCTGCACCAGAGAGCTGCACGGAAGAGGAGCAGCCGGGACAAAATCCAGCACCCCAACTGGAACTAGAACACGGGGTGCCGGTGCCGCAGGCGGAGAATTAGCCAAGTGAGCCGCGGCACCAGCCGGACACTATTCATTCTTAATTGATCCTGAAAAGAATTGTAGTTTCTGTATGCATGTGGTTGAGAGTATTGAAAGCTTTAATTGTTAAAAAGGAGTAAAAATGCTTAATTTTGTTTCTTAGGTATGCCTTGGTAGATTTCGGTTTGGCCCAAGGAACTCATGATACAAAAATAGAGCTTCTCAAATTTGTCCAATCTGAAACGCAGCAGGAAAGTTGCACCCAGAACAAATCTCATGTAATCATGGGAAACAAGATTTCATTGAGTGGCCAAGCACCTAAGGAACTGGATCAGCGGTCTCCCACCAAAACATCTATCAAAAGACCCTGCACAAATGCACAAATTCAGATTAAACAAGGAAAAGATGGAAAGGTCCTACCTGTTTTATTTCTTAAGTAGTAGCATTGTTTTAGAAATGTATTCTTTCATCCAACAAAGGGAGATATAACACTGAGATGGTATTTGTAATTAAAAAACCATTTTTTAGCATCTTTATATTTGCTTGATTATATTTTCACTGAGACTTGTTTAAAACTGAAACTTACTTTTTGATTTATGTTTTTGTCATTCTGTATTACAAAAATTGTATGACAATAGAAAATAGGTCATTTTCCCTTGCATGTTACAAAGTTTGGGTTAATTACCCTTTTTAAAAGAAAGTATTAGTTATAGGGGAAAAATTCTGAAGTGTCTATCTCCATTTTAGCTGCACAGCAAAATGTAACATTCACGCAGGTAATTTTTGAATTTTTTTAGTTCTATGTATATATATATATGTTTGTGAACTATGATGACGTTGTATGGGTGTTTAGAGTTCTGTCTAGACTATTTTCTCCTTTCACAGAAGTGTTTTGGTGCCTGAGAATGACTTGGATGCAGCTGTTTTTGTTTCATGTCACTTAACTCTTTCACAACTATGGCAGAGTACAGCTGGCAGAAAGTGTTACAGATATAACCCTTATTTTCCTTGTTTTTGTTGGTATTGTAGGAGGGATCTGTAGGCCTTTCTGTCCAGCGCTCTGTTTTTGGAGAAAGAAATTTCAATATACACAGCTCCATTTCACATGAGAGCCCTCCAGTGAAAGTAAGTAATGTAGCTTGATAGTGCAATGATCAGTCAGTTGTACACTGAAGACATTTAGGTAATGATTACATTACCATTTAATTAAGTGGTTTGGCTTTCACATATTAATGCTCTGAGCATCTAGTTACAATTTTTATTTTATTCAATTCTTTCTAAACTTTTCTGGTGGAATTTTTCATCATTTTTAGTTAAATGACTACTGTTACCCTTTCCTCAGAGGAACATTGAGAATGTTAAGGCCTTGTCTGTCATTAGTGAGCTCCCAGCACCTAATGTGGTTGATGCAGAGTTGATAGTGTTTGTAAAGTTAACAAGATTGTCATCAATGTCAGATGATTTTAAATTGGTGTATGATACCCCCATGACAGCTGGACAGCTTGAGCAACAAATTAAAACCAATTTTAGCCGATGTATTTGTGCAGTTTACAGTTCTGAAATGGAGTTAGACACTGGAACATAACTGCTGTATACTTTTGCAATATATCAAGAAATGTTCTAATGAAGGATAAGTCAAATATTTACTAAACTAGGACTAATTAGTAAATGTGTTTATTCAACAGAAAAATCCAAAGACCATAAACATCTTAATGGACAGCTGTTTATATACAATCCAACAGCACATTCAGCAGTTTTAAAGTAATGCTTTTGTGATTACTTTTTTGCTGTACTAGCATTGGAATACATTATATTAAGTGTTATGAAAATAGAAAATATAACTTTTCTTCTACAGCTGATAAAGCCATCAAAGAGTGTGGATGTATTGTCAAGAAAGTTAGCAACAAAAAAGAAGACTATTTCCACAAAAGTTATGAACAGTGGGGTGATGAGGAAAACTGCCAGTTCTTGTCCAACTAACCTGACCTGTGACTGCTATGCAACAGATAAAGTGTGCAGTATTTGCCTTTCAAGGTAATATATTGTGTTTGTGCTATAAAATCACCGGCATGCTGCCAGACGAGATGAGAAATTGAGCACTGATTGTGGGGAGCAGTTGATTTAGTGAGGGGAGGGGAACTATACAGGCACTGATGCAGAGCAGTACCTCGGAGAACAACTGATGCCGTTGTCATATTGTTCATTTGACATGCATATATTCTTTGGAAAACACATTTGCTCTTATGTGCAAATAATTGAGGGGGAGGCAGAGAAGCTTTTGAAAGTTTAGAATTGCACATTTTGCTTGCTGATGTAATTTTGTCTGTTTTCACTCTTCATTCTTGCCATGTAAAATAACTAGAACCAAATAGTAAAGCTGCTTTCTTACTCCCACCTCCAGCTTATTGCATTATAAATTCTTTCCCTTCCTCTAAGATTTGACTTTCATCAAGCCTTTCCTGATTAACTGATACATAAGTGAAGAAATAATCAGTGATTAATCACTCCAAACAGAAATTAATTTTTACGTATTCTGTTTTTATCTAATGGATTTTATTGTCTACTGTCTTGTTTGCTTAGAAGTTACCCTAACTCATTTAAGGAGTGAAGCCAGGAAACCAGTAGAAGTGGAACAAACCAGTAGAAGCAAAATCTATAATGTTCATCATACTAGATTATCATTTGCTTTGTAGTAGCTTTATGTAAATGCCAAGGCAAAATTTCTGTGAACTAATCTGATAAATGTAATTTTTTTGAATTTAAGTAGTTCAACTTCAACATAACTAGAGAAATCTTATTTCTTCATTATAAGGCGTCAACAAGTTGCACCTAGGGCAGGTACACCAGGATTCAGAGCACCTGAGGTCTTGACCAAATGCCCCAATCAAACTACAGGTAGGTTGCACTAGAAATACAGAACAAAATTCAAATGGGTTGTCCTGGTTAAATTTTAGGATCTTTGTCTAGTTTTGACAAATATTGAGCTTCTCTTACTTAAATTATGCAAGCAGTCTAGCAGTTCAGCATTCCCATTTTTGAGATAATGCTTTTTTATTTTTATTTTTTAAGAAATACAAATTTCATAAGTACAACTTTAGGAATATAGTTATTCCTCCCACCATACCAGCCCTCCCACCCACACTCCCAGCCCTCCTCCTCTTCCCTCTTCTCTTGCCAGTTCCATTCTCCATTAAGATTCATTTTCAGTTAACTTTGTACACAGAAGACTAACTCTGTACTAAGTAAAGATTTCAGCAATTTGCACACACACACAAACTATTTGAGAACTAGTTTTACATGGGGAGGTAGTGCACAGTGACTCCTGTTGTCACTCCTGTGTATGATGTCAGTGATCACCCCAGGCTCTTGACATCAGCTGTCTAGGCTGTGGAAGCCTTTTGAGTCCACAGACTTTGTCAGTATTTGGAATGCTTTTCTTTACAAAAGTTTCTAATGTTTGTGTTATCTTCCTTTTCATTTTTGCAGTTTATTTCCAAAGATTGCTTTTCTATGTACAAGATGATTTTACCAGGAATTTTGTTGCCATTATCTTTGTGAGAGGAAATAGTTGTGTTTGGTAGTTTATGTCACCTTTAGCACTTCATTCACTGAATGCCTGAAAAATTTTCTGTTTGGTAGATATGATTGTGTTTGACAAAAATCATTTTTTGTACTATGAAAACAGTGTAATAGCAGTTAGAAGCTTTTTAAAGAGAAAAGTGTCTTTTATAAATCTAAAAAGTTATCATGGGGCTGGAACCCAAGAAACATCTTTTGAATGAATGGATGAGTCCTGCTATTTGCTTGGATTACAAGCTTTGAAGAAATGCATTTATTCATTGTATGTCTGCTTGCTAGTGATGCAAAAATGAGAACATCTGTTCACACTCTGGTCAACACAATAATTATAACCTGTTGAGTATGGTGCTAAAATTACATCTGACTATCGTAACCCAGAGGAATATGGAAGGAAGTTCATGAAAGAGATGACCTTCAAGATGAATTTTAGTTGGGGTGTGGATTTAACATTGAGGCATGAGCCAGGGAACTCAAGAAAGAGTATAGTCTCATCATACTGGAATCTGAACATTCAGTATGACTTTGGATGCAAATTGTTAGAAGTAAACCTTGAGGGTGAGCATTTAGCACAGCAGGTAAGATGCCGCCTGGGACACAATCCCGTATCAGAGGGTCTGTTCAAATCCTGGCTTCTGATTCCACCTCCCTGCCCTGGAGGCAGCAGGTGATGGCTTGAGTACTTGAATCTGGGCAACCTACGTAGGAGAACCAGATTGAGTTCCAGTCTCCAGGTCTGGCCCATCCCTGACTATTGAAAGCATTTGGGGAATGAACCAATAGATGGAAAATCTCTGTCTCTGCCTTTCATTTAAAATAAGTAAATAAAAATTTTAAAATAAGAAACTTAGAAATAGACAAAGTCATCATGCTCTTAAACAGCTCAGACTGTATACTGTAGATGCTGGGAAGTTATTCCATGAAAAGAGTTGGTAGTACTGTATTCTACAGTAGATTTTGGAGAGTGTTTCCCTATAATGGTTGAAGCAAGAGATGAAAGCATGAATAAGGAAATTGGTAATAAGAATGAAATAAGAGAAGGATTGCAAAGACAGAACCTGGTGGGTAATTGGATCTGGAATTGGGTTTGAGATAATGAAGGAAAACAGCATCTGGGATGTTCACCAGATTCCTAGCTTGAGGGATTTGGATGTGTACCAGTAACTGAAGTGGAGAATAAAGGAGAAATAACTGATTTAGAGGTAAAGGTAGGATTTGGTTTGGGGCATAAATGGTTTCAGATATTTTTGGAACATGAAGATAGATCTAACAAAGTAAAAGTTAAGTATGACGCTCAGGGATGGAACTGGGCTGGAAATAAATGTTGAGTGTCATTTTTATAGAGGTGATAGTTGAATCCATGAGGTGGATGGACCATTGAGGGAGAGTTTAGAGGGAAAGAAATTGGGACTCAGGAACCTCAGCACTTAAGACTTTGAGAAAACATTGAAGGAACAGGCAGAAGTATGAAGGGAACTAAGGCAAGTGATACAATGGCCAGTGAAATTGAGAGCAAATAATTTGGTAATACTAGGTGTTCCAACAATTAAGAAAGATGCCTCTAAGAGAAATAAAAAGGAGCTTTTTCACATGGAACTGAGCTGGTCCAGAATTCTGGAGATTTCTTTTGGAATACTTAGTGCTAGCATCTGGTTAATGAAGAGCTTGTAATGTTCAGTACGTTTCACTAAAACGAAAACACTTCCACTACCATGGCGTCATTCTTGAGGAGCATCCAAGATTTTCCCCATGTAGCCATTTTTGGGTTTCTTTTGATCTTTTATAAGCATTTGCTTAATGTTTTCTAATGATGAAATATTCGTTTAAGTTTATGAATACGTTGCTCAAGAAAGAATAACATATTTTGAGTAAAGATGTTTGATTAAGGATTCTCAGTCATGGCTTTAGATTGAAATCACTTAAGGAACTTTTTAATGCTTGTACTCCAGAACTGTTGGATGAGAATCCCTGAGGGTTGGGGTCTAGGCATCTGAGATTGTGAAGGCTCCCAAGGTGATGCTATTGCACAATCAAGGACAAGAACCACTGATTTAGGATGATAAAACTATAAGTGGGGAATTTATTTTTAAAGTTTCTTTTCTGTTGCAGCAATTGACATGTGGTCTGCAGGTGTCATATTCCTTTCTTTGCTTAGTGGACGATATCCGTTTTATAAAGCAAGTGATGATTTAACTGCTTTGGCTCAAATTATGACAATTCGGGGATCCAGGGAAACTATCCAGGCTGCTAAAACTTTTGGTAAGCAGATTTATATTATGCTACAAAACAAATGCCTTTGATTATCTCCTACAGATGACTTAAATTATAAAATAGTCTTTACAAATAAGTTTTCTTAAAATTCTCTAATCCTAGATAGAATGATTATTAAACCTTAAGAGTTATGTTGATGTAAGAAAATAATTTGTCATCATTCTCCTCTATACATGTAATCATTTAATTTTATCAAGCACTAAGTACTACACTTAAAAAATAAGGAATAAAACCTTAACTCCCTTTAGTTGTGGCTTGAATTTTGTTGTATAAGTACTTTTAATATAATTTAATTCTTTTTTGTACATTAAGCATCAGGTTCTCTATCTGATATTGAGAATATCCTTGCCTTAATTGATTTTAGTCTAAAAGTAAACAGCTAATTATATTTAAGTGTAACAGGACTGCAGTGGAAAAGGGGAGAATTGCTTTTAATTTGAGGGTTAGCAGAATGAATAGAATACCTTCACTGATGGAGCAGTATTCTGAGCATGTACTGGATATGGGAAGTTATCTCCCAAGTTCTTCTTCAAGGCTGGCATATATGGTGTGCTTTGTGGGGCACTTAAGAATTATCTTAGCCTTGCTCTGGTCAACAACCTGTTCTCAAATATCCCCTTGTGTCTATCCTACAAGGACAATTACAGTTAGTGCTTTCCAACAAGCAATATGATTGAGTCAGCTTACCATCACACAGTACAGAACACCCATACAGCACAAGGTTTAAGTCAGCCTACCTCAGGATTAGCTGGGCTGCCTTGAGGCCAACCCCAGAATCAGTGGGTCTTAACCAGGAATGCATCAGAATTACCAGAGAAACCTCAAAAAGTCACAGGCTGGCCTCACTCAACTGATTCCTGGAAAATATGATTCAGAAAAATATATTTAGCAAGCCTCCAGACTTAGTTTGGAAAAAAAGTGATTTTGATCAAGAACCGCTTCTAGTTAAGAATGTCCATGAAAATGATTGTCTCATGCTTAGGCAGCAGTGTCAGGGTCTAATCCACAAGAAAATCTTAGTGGTAGTTATATGCACAATGCATCATAATAAAGGCTTGCCAAGAAATGCTTCTGCAACAAAGTCTACCTATTGCAATAAAATGTTATTTGAGGAATGAGGTAAAATGATACATTTAAGGGAAAAATAACCATGAGTAGAAAGCAAGATTGATGTCTTAGAAATAGTATTCTTACATAATAATAAATGGGAATATGTTTATTCTCAGATAATTGAGGAAACTTTAATTTAGCGTTAAAGAATTTTAAGAGAAGCTTATAGACATGAAGTTCATCCAAGACATTGTGTCAAAGCTTGTATCTCCCTGTTGTAGAACATCTGACACAGAAATGCTCCGGGGCAGGTTCCATGATAGCATGCAAGGACCTACATAGATTTACCACTGTAATGCTTATTCTCATATTTAAAAAGTAGTAATACTATATAGCACTTGTCTCGATTTTATTAATAGGACTTCTGTAGTTGTTTCCCTCAGATCTTATGTAACTTTGAGCTGAGTATAGAAGACTCAGAATTTCAGCAAATACAACTGTGTTCCTGTTTATATCCTAAGGAAATGACTTACCTGAGATGAGCAGTGAGAGCACGTCTTGTTTTTTTGGTAGTCTTTCCCACTGTTGTCAGCCTCATTGAATTATGTTGAAAGAATTGAAAGAAAAACCGTGAATTAATCAAATCTTTGACACATGCTAATCTGTACAAAAAAAAATGTGCTTTGATTATTTTATATTTCCTGAGTGTTTTGAGTGAAACTTCTCTTTGGTCATATAAAAAAGGAATTTAGGTATGTTGTGTAGCTTAAGAATGTACTAAAACATATTTTTGATTATTTCATATCAGAGTGAGCTAATAAATTAAGGAATAAAACTGTGCATGTTTTCCTCTAATTTACTTGAGACAGTGGGATTATAGATTTTTGTTTTTTTAATCATTTTTCTTTTTGACTCTTGTTTCTCTTTTATTATTTAGTTTTTAACAGATTCAATATAGTTTGTAGATATAAATCTAAGAACATAATGATATTCCCTTCCTCCCTCCCTCTTCCTCTCTGTTTCCCACCCTTCTTGTCTTTTTTTTTTTTTTTTTTTTAGTTTTTGAGATAGCATTTTAAATTTACATGACAGTAAAAAGACTTAATACTTTACCAAACAAAAAGTTTAACATGCAAAAAAGCAAAAAGACCTATTTTAGTGGGAATATAGACAATGGCTGTAAACAGTAGTTGAATGGAAAAATCACCATTTCTCCCATATAAAGTAAATTTGAAAGTAATCACAGGTCGCTAAAACTATAGTAGTATAATATTCTTAACCACTGGTTTGACAAAACAAAGTTTCACAAAAGTATTACAGCAATACTGACACACATAGGCATTTTTCTTTTCTTTGTTTTTTAAATTGTAGCTCCCCCATATAAGGGAGGATATGGTATTTTTCTTCGTGGGTCCAGCTTATTTCACTTAACATGATGTCCTCTAGTTACATAAATTTTGTTGCAAATGGCAGAATTTCATTCTTTATCACTGAATAATATTCCATTGTATGTATGTACCACAATTTCTTTATCCATTCATCTGATGATGGCCACCTTGGTAGAGTATAAATTTTGTCTCTTGTGGACAGTGCTGCTGTAGACATGGTGGAGCAGGTATCTCTGGTACAATGTGTTCATGTCTTTGGGTATATACCCAGCAGTGGGATTGCTAGAGGAATGATAGGTTTTTAAAGTTAGAAAAGGATTGGCATGTTGTATCTTCACTAAACTTAGTTTTTGGTAATTTATTCCGCTTCCCTTCTCAGCAACCTCCTTCCTTCTCCTGCCCTGGTGTTTTTTCTGCCTTGGTACACCAATCCAATAGTTAGATCAGACTGAGTAGAAGTAACTTTTTAACATGTAGAGCTAGATTAATTGCTTTGTTGACAATCTGTCTCTCCCAGAGAGGAACCTGGATATTGTGCTACTCATTGTCTTGAGCCCCGTTTATTTAATAAGGAAATATAAAGCAGAAATAATACCCACCTGCCTATTTCTGTACTTAACCTGTTTCTACCCATGTCTGCTAATAAACATCTCAGGAAGTTATTTCAGACATTCATATTTTTAAAAATTGAAATCTGATTTGCTTCTTAATCCATTCAGAACTTTATTGTAGCTTTAGGTGTTCCAGACACTATTTTGAGTCTCTGCTCTTAGAAAGCTCAAGTTCTAGTGAGGGAAAGAAAATAAATGTATAATCTCAGTGAGAGGTGACTGGTGTTGAGAAAGATTAAAGGAGAAAAGGAGTGAAAAGGGCTTAGCAGTCGAGTGTAGGTTGGTCAAGAATAGCATCTGTAAGGATGTCACATCTGAACAGAGAGATTCAAATAAATAATGCCTTTTTGTCTAGTACAGCAGACATAAATTGAACACCTGGTGTCTGCTAGGCATTGTCTAGATATTGGGAGGTCAGAGGTAAATAGACAGTCCCTGTCTTCTGAAAGCTCACAGTCTAGTAGGTGAGATGCACATTTTATGAGTTAGAATATAGGATAGCAAAAATAATAACACTTCTCAGCATATGACAGAATGCTGGGAAGAATAAAATGATCAGTTGTGAGCGTGTTGGACCTGTAGAGGTGATTGTTGAGCTGAGTGGGAATGTCCTGGGTACACCCATGGGCATGGGGCATCCTAGGCAAAAACAGGAGCCATTTAATTTAGTCAAAGGTGTAGAGGCTTGAAAAGAGTGAGGAGGGGAGATGCTGCAGCTGGTTAAATGAAGCTGAAGAAGTTGGCAGGGTCAGGTAGTGCCTAGCATAGCTTAGTAAGACACTGCTTTCTGAGTACTGTGTCCTGCTATGTAGTTTGGCCTTCAGCTAGTTCAAACAGCACTTAAGTGTGCCTGTCGTGCTCTCTTATTCAGTGCACACACACACACATACATAAATACACATACACACATACTTTTAGATATATAGCCATAAAGTACATGGCTACATTTGTGTGTTTCTCATGAAAGATGCTTCTATTATATTCTAATAATTTTTTTTTTCCTTTTTAGGCAAATCAATATTATGTAGCAAAGAAGTCCCAGCACAAGACTTGAGGAAACTCTGTGAGAGACTCAGGGGTACAGATTCTAATACTCCCAAGTTAACAAGTGATACACAAGGGCCTGCTTCTCCTGACCAGACTCTCTCAGAGAAGACTGACCATAAAGCTTCTTACCTCATACAAACACCTCAAGTACAACCCTCAGGGAATTCATTACATGCAAAGGACAGCAATGGCTGCGCACGTCATTTTGATGAGTGTACAACCAATTTAGACGGCTGGGATGAGGTTCCTGACGAAGCTTATGACCTGCTTGATAAACTTCTAGATCTAAATCCAGCTTCAAGAATTACAGCAGAAGAAGCTTTGTTGCATCCATTTTTTAAGGATATGAACTTATGATTATGCATCTTCATTTACCATTACTGTTGTGTATTAGGTAAAGATGAGTTCTTTGTAAATAGCCCTAAATCCTTGTTTACAATCTTTGTTTACAGTCCAGGGCAGTATGAATAATTTATTTTAAAATGTTAGTATTTACTCTGGTGGCAGATACATAAAATACAGATTAAGATTACTTAAAATGCCTGGGAAAGTTCTTTGGACTAACAAGATGATCTTTGAGTTAAATCCACTCAAGTAGAATCAGAGTTTTACTTTCTCTATTTTTCACTGCCATTTACAGACAAAGGAGCAGTTTTAGCCTTGTACAAAGTAATCCAAGGTGCAAGTCTGAAAGTTAATAGACATGACAGGGATTAAATGATTCAAAACACATAGTTTACTGAGTTATCATAGTGAGTTATGTGTACTTTGTAAAATTCAACCTAGTGTTGGTGCTGTAATCTGTAGGGAAAGAAAGTAATTCCCTTTTCTAGAAGCATATATTAAATCTTTTAAAGACACTAAAATACTGAGGAGATGTTGGTCATGGGGCAAAATATCACTTAAAATTGAATTTTTCCATTTTTCAAAAGTCATAAAACATTTTTGTGTGAATTGTCATATTTTCTTTGCTTCTAACACATTCTGATTGGAAATTGTATGGTGCTACAACAAAGGTTCTGGGTGCTTTATTAGATTCAGTGTGTCTTTACAGCTGGCAATTTATAGTAATGCTTATACTGGATAAGGGAAAGCTGTAGGACAAAGGTGAAGATTGAGAATCCAATATGCCTTTATTTTCCTCTTTGCTGTGTGTATGTTTTGTCACAGTATTTTAGGCATCAGGTAGCTCCCAAAAAACAAAGCAAACACAGAATTAAGTTTACTGGAGACTTTTTCTCTATCTAGCTATCTGTAATGCTAGATCCTATTTTGACTAACTTGGTCTTGCTCAGAGAAGAATGATTACTAGAGTCTTAGGTGTTACAGGAAGAGAGAATGAAGTAGAATAAAGTAGAACAAAGTAGAAAAGGACCTAAGATTAGGGGTTTATGTATTATTTACATTCTAAACATACATGTCAAGCATATCTTGTGGAAAATAAAGTAGGGGAGGGTGTGGATCTGCTGACAAGTTTCCCATTTAGTAGTCTTAGAAACATAGATTCATTTTGTTATTTTGAGCATTGATGGGTCAGTATGTCCACCTAGTCTACTTGGGAAGTAATAGTGTTTATATAAGCCATTATTATGGATCTGCTGTCTTAAAATTGTTTCTTTAAAAACTTGAATGTTCTTGAATTTATATGTTTAATAAAGTTGCCCTTTTATATTTTTTATGTCAGACTAATTTAAAAAGTGACCATTAAGTGGCTGGTGGAGATATTTTCCTTTTTAGATTGATGAATGCTTTCATCAGCAAATAGTAGATAGTAGGTTAACAGATAATGACCTGGCTCAAGTAATAATGAAAGAAAGTAGATTTTTCTATAGAAAGAAGTGTTCATTGACTTAATATATAGGATAATATCACAAATAGTAAAACAACCATCTCAGTAACCAAAATGAAGTCTTTATTCAGCCAAAATTTTCGACAATCAAATCTGATTAATTTATTCTTAGAAAAGTTACCAAAAGGGCAAGAGACTTTGTCTAAGAGACTTTAAAATCCACACTGTTTTAATTTTCCATTAGGACAGAATTTGGTTGTTCCATAAAGGGGCTGGTAAAGTGAGCTAGTGTATTAAAAAATACCTGTGTTACAAATGAGTTCTCTGAAAATTTCAATCCCAAAGTAAAATGCATCCCCAGTGTTGGGCAGACATTCCCAATGTGCTGAATAAAAATGACAAGGAGCTTCCATATACACATTCATGAGGATTTTAAACCTTCTAAACACTATTTTATAATGGTAGATACCTCCCTACAAGATTTTATCACGCAAAATTAAGTTTCCTAGAGAAATATTAAGAGGGTGATTAGTTTAATGTCATTGTTAGGAAATTCTTGAGATATTCAGCTATTTTTCACTTTGAACTTTTTAAAATTCTTACTGCTCAGATTCTTGAGATAAACTAGTAAGGGTGTTTTCATTTAATAAGCCATGGGCATTAATACATCACAAGCTAAAAGTATTAGTTTCTGATAGAGGCCCCAACTCTCTAGCATTTTTAATGAAACTTTTCCTTAAAAGGAGATGATTATGGTTGTCTTAATGACCTAAATACAGATGTGACTCAAGAATAAAAACCTGAACAAAAGTCATTAGAGGTGTTAACATCTTTGTTTCTGACATCAGCATTTTAGGGACAAAGTAGTGTTACAAGTGTCAGAATATTGATTGCATAAAATCTTAACCCACTCAATTTGTAGGCTTAGGTTTTTAGTAGTTTCTGTTGTTTGTGTAATTTCAGCCCTACACGTCACCAAAAAGTTATTTATCCTAAGAAACTGGCCAAATTAGGCGGGTAATTCTGTCTGCCAGTGTCTGCAGATGTATTGTTTCCGCCTGCATTTGTGCGTGTTGTTTGTGGTCTTCAAAGAGCACTGTCTGTCTAACACCAGACAAAAACGTCAATCCTGTTCCTACTTTTTCCTTATATTCTTAGAACTGATGTTGGCAGTTTCCTAATTGTGTCAAATTATGTGGCTGAGCTTCCATTCTTGGAAAGGTGGATGTTATCAACCAATGTAATCAGAAGTAGTTAGTGATGTGTTAAATACAGCAAAGTTTTCAACAAAATAACTACAGTGGTCAATGCTAAGACAAGTTTTTGGTCAATAATGACATTTTAGATATCTAAAGTAAAAAAGCATGGCCTTAGGAAGCACTTGCAGATTGAGAGAGAAAATGTTAAAAATGGAGTTTAGAAAAGTAATTATAAGAAACTCATGAGCTTTATTTGAGGTAATTTTTTTCTAGAAAATGAACTGAAAGGGTGAAATTCTGACATCTCTTGAGTGCCTCAAAAGTTAACACTCTATGGGAAAGAATTAGGATGAGTGAAATAAAAACCTACTGGGAAGTATATACGTAGCTTTTTCTAAGGAAAGAAAGATAACTAGAAAACAGATGTAAATGGTTTAGAATTTCAACTTCAGCATGCAACATGTGTGAAGTATCCTTTTGAATTTAACACATCATGTCCTAGGTCCTAGCCGTTAAGCAGATTTCATCTTGGACTCTACTGAAGCAATTCTTTAGGAAGAATAACAGGTTTAGCAGCAGGAAATTTAATTCTAATATACAAAGAAAAATAGGGAATAAAGGGTATTTAGAGATCCAGCTCTAATTTTGGACTTAGAGAATGCCAATGTCACTCTAGTAGGAGACCAAGAAAATAGACCAAGGAATGAGCTTCTGACATCCTAAAATCAGAAGGTAATCACTGCCAGCTGTGAGGGGATAGCACAAAGCAGAGTCAGAAGAACCATCGGATGCTTGTTTTCTAATCAGATTTTTCACATGTGTTCATCAGCATTCTATCAGTGGTATGTTTTCATCTGTGAATTTAATTATGTGTTTGCCCTTTGTGCAAATTCCTTCCGTAACTTTTCTGAAGACTGTAGCATATGATCTAGAAATGATTCCAACTAGTACAACACCAAGAAAATAAATCAGAAACACATGTATGGCTCAGTAACCTCACATTATTACTTTAGCTCCATCCTTAAAAAGGAGTGAGGGACTGGGTAATCCAGCCACCTCCAAATGTCTCAAGACACTTAATGCCATTTCTTCATTTCTTTGTGACTGATCATCTGGCTACATGCTGGAATGCACTGATTAAAATGAGTCACACTATGTGTATGTAAATGAGTAATCTTAAGTATTAGCAATGCTTTTTTTTTTTTTTAAGATTTATTTATTTGAAAGAGTTACAGAATGGAGAGACAGAGGAAGAAGTTTTCCACCTGCTGTTTTACTCCCCAGTTGGCCACAATGTCCAGAGCCGCACTGATCTGGAGCCAGGCGCTTCTTCCGGGTCTCCCACATGAGTGCAGGGGCCCAAAGCCTTGGGCCATCGTCTACTGCTTTCCTAGGCCATAGCAGAGAGCTCAATTGGAAGTGGAGCAGCTGGGACTCAAACCGGCGTCTATATGGGATGCCCGCACTGCAGGCGGTGGCTTTTACCCTTTTATTGCTACACAACAGCGCTGGCCCCAGCAATGTTCCTTTAAAATACACTAATGCAAAGTTTGTGAAATTAATGTCTAGTGTTGTGGTGTTGTCCTTTCTGTTATAAATTGTTACCTTAAAACTTCATTAGTGGCCGGTGCGCAGCTTACTAGGCTAATCCTCCGCCTTGTGGCGCCGGCACACAGGGTTCTAGTCCCGGTCGGGGCGCCGGATTCTGTCCCGGTTGCCCCTCTTCCATGCCAGCTCTCTGCTATGGCCAGGGAGTGCAGTGGAGGATGGCCCAAGTCCTTGGGCCCTGCACCCGCATGAGAGACCAGGATAAGTACCTGGCTCCTGCCTTCAGATCAGCGTGGTGCGCCAGCCGCGGCGGCCATTGGAGGGTGAACCAACGGCAAAGGAAGACCTTTCTCTCTCTCTCTCACTGTCCACTCTGCCTGTCAAAAACAAAAACAAAAACAAAACTTCATTAGTGTACTCCTGGGAGCAGGTGTTGAGCAAAGAAAAGACGCTCATATCCTACATTGAGCGTGCCAGGGTTCAATTCCCAGCTCTGGTTCCTGACTAACTTCCCTCCAATTCAGAACCTAGAAGGCAGTGGCCATAACACAAGTGAATGGGTTCCTGCCTCACACATGGTAGACCCAGATTGAATTCTCAGCTCCTGGCTCTGGCCCTTGTCCAACCCTACCCCTTGTGGGCATTTTTGCGTGTTTCTCTCAAAATAATAATTAAAACACCGATGTCTAACACCGTATTATGAAGAAGAGTCTTCCTTGTTAATTCCTATACAGTGTGACTGGGCTGGTGCCTGGCATTTATTGAGTGCTCAGTAACTGCAAAGAGATGTTTAAAAAATTCATGGGCAGTGCACATTAATGCATATTATCTCTTAATCCATTTTTCCATGAATTTTTGGAAGTCACCTCATATTTGCTGAGTGCTTAAGTTACATTTAATTAATTTGCTTCTATGCAAAATATTAAACACCTCTCTTTAAAATTTTTTATTGATTTAATTTTATTTGAAAGGCAGAGAGTTTATGCTGGTTCACTTCCCAAATTCCTTCAACAACTAGGGCTGGGCCAGGCTGAGGCCAGGAGCCCAGAACTCAATCCAGGCCTTCCACCTGGGTCACAGAGACCTAAGTACTTGAGCCATCATCTGTGCCTTGCAGGGTGTGCATTAGCAGGAAGCCAGATCAGAAGCAGAGGAGCCAGGACTCAGGCCAGGCACTCCAGTACGGGAGGTGGGCATCCCAAGTGGTGTCTTAATTGCTGTGCCAAACCTTTTTTCACAAGGGTGCCTATTTTCCTCAGTTTGAAACAATTTGGGAGTGACACCGAATGGTAAGGAAAGTGAAATGCCCCATTCCTCCTACATAACTTACCTCTTCTCAGTAGACTCCTCTCATTCCCCATGCAGTTTGAATGAAGGCAGAATTCCGATGCCATCCATGCCTTAGGTTCAGAGTGGCTCCAAAGAGGTCTTTGGACTTGGTAGTTGCTGTTAACTGGAATGCCTTGCTCCAATCTGAGTCCCAAATGTGTTCACTCTTACCAAGCCTCAGACATCCCACTCCTTCCTCTACAAAGCTTTCCCCGATGACTCCAGTCCAATTGATCATCTCCCTGATCATTTCAGACTTCTTGTTGGTAGAGACTATTTTATGTCCCCCTACATTTCTTTACCACCAGTTAAGAGACCTGGATGTTCATTTAAAACTTTGGGGTTAACTAGGAGTTTTACACCGTGAGGTATTTCCAAACCCCACTAGAATAATACCGGCCTAAGGACAAAGCCCTTAATTCTTAAAACATCTGAAGGATTATGTTGTTTTCCCTTGGTGACTGATCCTAAGACTTTTCAGCTCTCCCACCCCCATCTCATCCATCTCAGTTGCAATTTCCATTCCTTGCTCTGTCACCATTGTGTTGACTGGAGACAGAAAACAGCTGGTGGACATTTTATCTGTAATAACCCTTCACATCCTTGTATAAGAGGCAAGTGAGCAAAAATTTCTTAATTCTCTATTGTCATGTTTTTAGCTCGTATTTGTGTGCCAAGCACCATAACAATCAACAAAATCAACTTGTAAGTACGTATAAAGTACTAAGGGAAAGCGTAGTGTACATGCTTGGTTATGCTATTATTATGACTTATTTTCATACATATAAGACCCTATTTATCAGATTTTTCTGA